TATATATTTACCTTCAAAAAGCATGATTGAAAGAAGTTTAGGGTTACAAAATTAAAATGTTTAATCCAAGTACTATACCATTTTGAAATGGTAGGCAGCTCGACTGTCCTAAAGAGTAGGCATAAGTCCAGCATCAAAATTCCACTATTAACTAAAACTGGCAAGTCCAAACACACAAAAAATTAAACAAGATTGACATTTTCTACTAGAGTTTTACTGCACAAGACTATTCAAGAGTAGAAATTTCTATCAAAGCTACAATGTGGTATCTGAATATATTTAGCATTTTACAAGCCATCTTGGCAATAACTGGTTAAAATGGTTGTATGCAAAAATCTCACAGGTAAATTTTATGGTATATCCTTTTTAAAAAAAATAAAAAAAACAAAAAACTAAATTATCTTTGGGTCAAAGGTTTTGGTTACATAGCAGCTATTAAACTATACAAGCCCAGCATACCAAACCTGTAAAGCTTTGAGACTGTGATGTACTCACCGGAATATGAGAAAACAACCCAATATAGATTAAGATCGTATAGCATACAAAAATTATATTGTTTGTGTAACTTTCTTTAAGTTCACTATTTCCATGAAATAATAATGGGCTTCTCTGTTTTTTTTTTATTTTAATTTTTTTTTTTTTATTCATGTTAAATAAGCATATATTAATATTTTTAAAATGTATGGAGAGAATGCTTCACAAAATCCAAACAGCACATTATCAGGAAACCGGAAATTTCAGCTGAACTGAACTGAAATAAAATAGTCCGTGTCACAAAGGAGTTAATTGTTCTAATTTGACATAACAACAAAACATGTCCGTTACAAATCTGTGTTTCTCAAACCTCTGATTTTTTACGTTATTTTTAAGGGAAGTTACCATTTGTTACACCTCTTTGTAAATCTTTATTTGTAGAATATTATTAAAGCCTTGGAGTGACAATATGTGTGATGTCAGAAGCTGTCATCCCGCACCCCTGCCTTGGGGAAAACAACTCCAAAAGACGTTCTGGCAGAATATAATTGATTGTTTTTGTTGTCAACAAATCCCAATCACTGTGCAATCCCTTGAAGAATAAATAAATGAATATTAAAAATTTGAAAGTAAAATAAATGAATATACAGCAGTTTGTTTGTTTTTACAGCTGCTGAGATAAAATGATCTGTCCCTTTCCTTCTCCATAAAACTGGACTGCCATCTGTAATAACCTTCATACCAATGCATAGAGCATAACAACTGTGTATATCACAGTGTTTGGTTCTTTTTGTTTGTGTGTGTGTGTGTTGTGTTTTTATGTTGTTTTTGTCTTATTTTTTTTATTCTTTATTTTTCTTTTGCATACGATAACAACAGGCGTGTAGAGCCACAACAGCATCTACAAGCATTTTTCAAGACATTTCCAAGTGTGGCAGTTTGGTCGGCACATTTTTGTATAATCATGAAAATAACAGGCTGTTAAACATTGCTTTTAGAACATAACATGCTAGTGTAAGTAGGCATAATAAAAGTGAGACGTGAGTTTGATTTAACATGCTAATCTAACCACAGGCTGAGTTAATACATACTGTGTTTGCTGTAGTATGGTTCAATTAGGCCAGGCTAATGCCGATCGCTTATATAACATAACACAACATGCCAGTGTAATTAGACGTGTCAAAAGTTAAACGTAAGTTTGATAAAACATGGTAAATTAACAACAGGCTGAGTTAAGACATACTGTGTTTGCTGTAGTATGATTCAGTTAGGCCAGGCTAATGCAAGTCGCTTATTTAACATAACATGCTAGGGTAACTAACCGTGTTAAGAGTTAAACGTAAGTCTGATAGGACATGCTATATTAACTACATGCTGCATCAAGACATACCATATTTCACTGTTGTATGGTCCTGCCAGGACAGGTGTTTAGTTATATACTTGGTTATACTATCTGAGTGCTTATCATTGAGAGCAGGTTTATGTCCGCAGTGGTGCAGGATTCAGCAACAGTTAGAGCGCCTGTTTCGAGGGGCCAGTGATTCAGCCGATACCTCTGGTGGGCAACATTATGCAGTCTCTGCTCCGGTTGGTTGTGGAGTGTGCGCGGTAGGTCGGGCCTCTTGGGTCCCGGTCTTGCTGCTGGGTGGAGGTGGGGAGGGGATATTCCCCAGTCCCTGATGTCACGTTGGGGTTGTGCAGCCCGGGTACCCCTGGGCTGGGAGTCCGCCCCGGCGTTCAGCTGCATGGGTCCCTGGGTTGTAGCTGGGTTGTAGCTGTGGCGTGTAGGGATTGAAAAGAGCTGTGTAGTTGGCAGGTTTAGCAGTCCCGCTCTTAGGAGTGTGTGGACAAGCACTTGTGCCTGGGCAAAATGGCTTCCTTATGCGCTTATGGGATCGCTCGTGTGTGTGTGTGGCCCGGCGGCCTTTCTTGACGCCTGTAGTGGTTGCCTGTAATGGCGGCGTCGGGCTGCTGGGCGAATCCACATGGTCACTATTTTCACCGCAAGGTGGAAGGCTATCTTCACCCCAAGGGGTTCGTGGGTAGTTGGTTGAGCGTGTGTGCTCCGTTTCTTGGGCCCTTGCTGGGCGGCCATCTTAGGCTGCGCTTCAGTGGCTTGATGCCTCTGTAGTCGGCGCCGTCTGTTACAGCCTGCCCGCCGAGGGTGGACGGGATATCCCCCCGGTCCGAAGGGGGGGGTAGGTTGCTTGCATCGTTGCTGAAGGGCCTCGGTGTCAGAGAGAGCGGCCACCTCTCCGCGGCCCCTGTCCCAGTAGGCTGCACTTCTCTTTTGACGGGCTTCAGGGTGGTATCAATCTGTTCAGTGGTGCACCCCTGACATGGGTAGTGCACTCTCAGAGGTATTTGAGTGGTCTACATGCAGCTTTTGCCCCAATTGCTGCCCACCGGGCAGGAGCTCATGCTACACACGTCTGCACGGCTTGGTGGTTCGGCTCCACCCCCGTTGTTTTTGTTTTTGTTCCCTTTTCTCTGTGATTTTTTTATTCTTTGCAAGATATTTAAAGCACAGCCATTGCTAGATACAGTATTTGAGTATAGTGTAGAGTGTTCTGCGCAATTTTTGTGTGTGTGTGTGTGCTTTATTGAAGGCCTTTTTCTGAAAGAGAAAATGTTCTTATTAAAAAAGAGGAAATTTAAAGGGGACACTCTGGGCATTATAACGACTTCATTGGAATAAAGTTGTTATGGGGCAAAGAGGACACCACCACCATCTGCCACATTTCAGGCTTGAATCAGAAGCATAAAACGGGCGCCGCTCAGCGTCAGCTGACGCTCTTAGCCAATTACTAGCTCTCCATTCATAAAAGAACTTGAGAAAAATGTTAGTTTCTCAAACTGTTTGGTGAATAGGGAGATACCAATTGGTTGAGAGTGTCAGCTGACACTCTCAACATATCACCTGCGCCCTTGTCTGAATCTTCCTGAATCAAGCCTCGGACTGCAGAGGATGTTTGTGGGCAGAGCCACCGGACTCAACATTTTTGGAGTTAACCAATTTGTTAAAGGTTTAACTAATTTAGGTAAAATGGTGCCCAGGGAACCAACAAAGCTGTTATGGTGCCTGGAGCGTTCCTTTAAGTATTTCCTAGATGTGAATGAAGTGGTGCTTTTAAACACCATAGTGGCTACCAGGAGCCATTTTACAATCTGCATAGCATTTTATTTCTTATCCATCTGAGTGTAGTGTATTATTTTCATATTATTATTTACAGGAGTGTATTGCTGGTTGTGTTTCATTTTTTAGTATGTTGTGGGTGGGTATAAATTGCTAAAGAAGCAGGCTGATCTAAAATACTCATAGGATCTGCAGAGACTTGAATATTAAAAATATGTAAAAAAATAAAAGGAAAATAAAAGTGGATGTTAAAATTAAGTACTGTGCCTTTAAGAAATGTGAGCTAAAAACTGGAGGTATAGAAATACAAAATACAAATCAGAAATAAAACTGGTAAAAATCAGGGTGAAGGTAGCAAAATGGTAAAATATGCACATAAAAGATGGAAAAAAAATAATATAAGAATAAGAATGTGTGGAATAAAAGAATAAAAGAACTACTGAATCGGTTTGCAGTGAATGAATGTACAGTGTTAGTGTCTCTATCCTTGAAGGGTGCAGGGTAAGTGACACTTTCTCTGAATAATATACTTTGTATCAGCAAAGATAAAAATTGAAGAGAAAAAAAAATGAATGATGAAATAGCAGCACAGTATATGGAACTGTTTGCTTAAAGCAATAAATGTATCGCTATAGACTGATGTTAATTGCAGAAACTGGATCAAATATAAAAACCAGTAGGCTCCCCCCTCATTATCATTATGGCCCCCAGGAGGTCCACCCCTCCTTATTGTTATTTAGGGCCCCCACCCGCCGCGCAGGGGTGGGGACCAGATAGTAGGGTTTTTTTTTACAGTAGGGGTAGTAGAGTAGGGGCATTGGGGAGAGTTAAATCTCCCTTATGCTATTATGGGGGTCATATTGACCCCCATAGAGTTAGGAGGGGACCTGGGGGGCTTATGAAGTGGTGGTGAGCACGGAAATCTCACAGTCTCTCTAGTGTGGGCAGATGACGTGTCCCACAGGGACTTCCTCTACCCACACAAAGATCGGTGCAGAACATAAAGAATAATAAATAGGTAATATGGGGGGCTTAGGGGCATTTGGGGGTGACTAAGGGGTCAATTGGATGTAGTCGAGGCGGGGGGGTTTAAAAAAAAAAAACGGGATTCGGCATGACAGTGCCGCTTTAATAGAGTCATTTTTGACATGCTGTGGGTAGATGGTTGAGGTAGGATGTAATTCAGTATGAACATAATTCTGTTCTATCACTTTTTGTGTTGGATCTTTGTCCATGAAGAATTTTTTGATTGAAACTTTTCGAATGAACTTGTGTAGATCTATACATACGTTGAAATCTGAATTCTTTGATGTGGGAGCAAATTTTAAGCCTTTTCTTAGAAGGGATGTTTCATCCTGATCTAGAATCCTGTTAGATAAATTAAAAATGCTCACTTCTTTCTTTTCTGCTGAATATGGTCTTCGTGTTGGTCTGTTTCTTCTTCTAGATCTCTTATTGTCCTTTTCTTTCTCACATCTGGGAATCTGAAGTCTTCCACCGAGAATTTTCTGGGGGGGATCCTCCCCCGTTTCTCTAAAAAATCGTTTTCGGTACTAATATTGGGAATATGTGGGTGAAGTGTCTGATGGTGTGTAGGATCGGTCCTTCTGTGATTTGAAGAAGGAACTCTGAGGACTGGAGATTGGTTGTTCTGATAGTCAGGTGGTCTTCTGTTCCTGAATGGTTGTTGGAATGCTGGTTGTGCCTGATCATGGTAATGGCTTCCCTGATGTGAGTATTCTGTGTTCCTATAGTTGTTCCTTTGGTGATGTCTACTGGGTATGTCATCTTGCCTTCTGTTGTATGTTTGTCTGTTTCGTGTCCAGTTGGATGAAGGATACTTTGTGGGAGTTTTCGGAGACACCAGAGCATCCCTATATGATTGATATTCGGGTCTATGCTCTGTTCTATATTTGGTGGGGGAATGGTAAGGTTTGGTCTCCTTCTTCCAGTTCCTCTGCTTCTGCGTCCTGTAGTCGGCCTGATCTCTCATAATTTTCTTTCTTTTAGTTTCTCTGATGTTTTCTTCTATGTCTTTCACTCTTTTCTCCATCTTTTCTAATAGGTCCACATATTCCCCACTTTCCACCAGGGGACGGATGGAGGCTTTTAGCGCTGTTATCTCTTGATCTAGTTGTGTTAAATCTTTCTTCTTTTCATTGATGAGGAACACCTTGAGTAATAGTGAACCCTTATCTAATAGTTGGTCCCATTTTTTTAGCAGGGTTAAATCGTGGTGTTTATAGGCTGATCTTTTGAATAATCTAAGGCCTCTTGGTACTATGTTGCTATTCACATAAAAGTCTAGGGCTGCTATGTCCCACCATACATGTACCTCTTTCTCCATAATCTTTCCCAATTGGTAAATGAGAGATCTGACATCATCAGAACGTTTCTGAGGTTGGGGGATTGATTCAACGTTGGGTTGGATGTCTTCTTTAAAGGACCAAGTATCCATAAAGGATTTCCTGTCAAGTCTAATGGAATCAATATTCCTACTCAAAGCCATAGTTGTTCTCTAAAACCTCGGATAGTGAAATTAAATGATAATATGACTTGTGATATTTTCATTAGCAATCAAAGTATTTGTATATAAAGAAAGACTGAAGCATTATGCCACATTCCGTCTCTGAAGAAGTAGGGCTTCACCTACGAAACGCGTAAGACAGATTAACAACGCAAGATACAGATCCATTTAACCTGCAGAAGATCACTCCACACAAAGAACCCTTGGTAAACCTATCTACCGAAATCGTCCATTCTGTCCGTCCCCCAGAGTGAGGTCCTCTGCAGATCCTATGTAATATTTTACTGCCCCATCAAGCCATTATCACGAGTCAGCTTCTGGTTTTCACACACTATCCTTTAGAGGTTTTTTCTTGTTACTGTTTATAGGTTTTTGTGAATCCCTATTTGTTTCCAGTGTGAGCGACTCAGTGTTAGTTAGACTCCCTCTCCTCTGTGTATATATTAGGTATACCAGAACCCTCCAATTTGATCTAAAATACTGTTCCACTTTATCTGCTTAATTACTAATAATGCATTAGTCTTTGGCATGGTGGCACAGTCTTGATTTGGTACATCTGTCCTGCCATTTTACTCTGCCACCACTAAAATGAATAGGACCAGAACATGGCCACTCCACATGATTTCTGTAGCACTCTGTGAGTCCTGGATCTTTGACAGAGAGGGAGTCGTGTAAGTCCAGCTCTCGAAGATCTTCAAACACTTAACACCAAAGTTTCCTCATACAGAACTACGGCCTCTCTCCCACATCCCATTTTCATTCTTCTCAATGTTGGGAGAAAGAAGAATTTGATCATTTAGCACAAGTTCCACTTTATTTCTGCCAGTAATAATTCTCTACACATACACAGACTCTGATTGTGACACAATTGTGTTACTTTATTCTCTGAAACCTGTTTATACATCTCTCCCATTAACCTTTTTTTATGATGTATTGATTACTGTTCAGTTTTGTTCAGTTGACAGACTAGTCAAATAGTCCAGGAAAAAATGTCAATAGAGATTGAATAATGCCTTTGTGTAAAAAGGGCTGGTGGATGTTTTGTTTTGTTTTGTATTGTAAAGATACCATGTTGGCATGATTCTAGGTAACCATTTATGCTACACTAGTTTGGACCTTTTTTCACTATTGGTAGCCTAGCAGTGGTTTGGGTGCAGTGGTCCTGTCTTTTTTTTTTTTAATTCTTTATTTTATTTGTGCATGAAATGAACATCTGCGTCTGCACTGCCACAACAGCTGGTGCAAGCACACATATAAAGACATACGACGATACTGATATGGCATTGAAAAAACATTACACACTTTTTATTTTTTCTCTCAGAGTGGGAAACACGTAGGAAAGTAAAGTGGGGCACACTAAGAGCTAAGCATGAATAATAACCAGTTATGGCTGACATTTTGCACATGTGCACAGTTTAGTAGCTTGTAAAAGAAGTGATGTTGGTGCATCCTATGAGTAAGCTAATCGGTTGCTTAGCTAGCAGTTGTGTCTGTAAACAATTTGTAGTAGCCAGGTTAACTGCTTATATGCCTGATATGCCTAATGTGTGTAGTAAGAGGTGATGCTGGTATAGTGAGCCCCTAAACTTGAAGTGTTAGCATGCTGGGTCTGCATAGTATGCTACTTGTGGTATGTCACCCTGGCTGGTCTAATATGCTCGTTCTGGTACAGGCTTTGGGAGTCGTCTGTATAGCGGGCATGATACCTCGCCGGTATGAGCCGACTTGCGGTTAGCCGATGCCCAATCGGTCGTGTCAGTATGGCAGGGTACGCTTGTCCACCAGGGTAGGGATCTGGGCAAAGTCCATTTGCAGGTTTCCTGTGGGCCAAAGTCGTGTTGGACCAAGACCGCCAAGTCTGGGCATCAGGAGGATAGGCTTGTTGCCGGGTGCCACGTGGAACCCCTCTCTGGGTCTGCTGCGCTGCCCATCATGTGTACAGTGGGTATGTGGTCGGGCCCGCTGTGAGAATACCTTGCTTGGCGGCATAGTCTTAAGTCCCTGGTGGGGGTAGTCTCTTTGCGGTGTTCCGACCCTCCAGTGCCGCGGCTGTCGACGGCTCGGCTGTGTCTCCGTCTCTGTTTGCCGTTTGCTTGACTCGTTGATGGGACAGGTAAGGGCTCTCTTGGTGGGTTGCTTTGTAGGGTATGGAGGACGCAACCTCCTCTGACCCCCTGAGTCTCTGTTCAGAAGCCTCACTGAGTGCTGTGGGCTCATTGAGAGAGCAGCCATTCACATCGACCTCGGCGCACATGGCGTCTGCCATATTGTGTCCTATACAAGTGGTGTATAGTGATTGTGATCTTAGGCGCTTAAAAGAATTTTTTTTTTATATATTAAAACAATGTGAGCTGCTACCACCAATGTGCAATTCTTCCACAGCTTGGCACAAAAATACAGAGTGTAACAATAGACTGTGTGGTCAAAACCAAAACCAGTCAGAAGGTAGAGCGCTGAAGGGATGCTTTGTGAATAACTCACCTCCCCCCTCTCTTTTTAGGTGTATTAGAACCTAGAGGAAGGGAAAATAGAGCTACAATAGTGAAATACTGTATAATAATAATTGAAAAGTGTGGAGATGTATAGAACCACTCACTTGGTGCTGAGCCTTAACAGGACAGGCTCAGATCACTTGATCAGATGTGTTTTGGTAGGTAACACAAACCCAAACAATGGAGATACTTCTGGGTCCTTTAAAGATAGGAAAAACCAGGCATAGTCTATTATGCAAATGGTTGTGAATAGAATGGTGAAAGAGTATATGGAACTGCTCACCTGATTTAGAGCCTCTATCTCTGGCTCTGAGTGTAAAAGTGTGGGTACCACTAGGGGGGTACCAAACCCTACAGATGAATTCAGGAACACCACTTTCGTCTGGATGGAAAATCAAAATAAAATTTATTTTACAATATAAAGATATAAAAACAATAGTAGAGTATTAAAAAAAGGTAGAATCCTCCTGGACGTCCGAGACGCGTTTCGCCGGCAGGCTTCATCAATCGGTGTGTGTTCCTGTGTTCGTGTTCTTCTTTTATGCCCGGCAAAGGGATCTGTAATTCCGGAATTGATCGCGGCTGTGTTCCGTTTACATCACTTCCGCTTTCGTCATCTTTTCGGTGCGGTCGCTTTTTCTCTTTTCCCAAAAAGAGAGGGGGGAGGTGAGTTATTCACAAAGCATCCCTTCAGCGCTCTACCTTCTGACTGGTTTTGGTTTTTACCACACAGTCTATTGTTACATATTGTGTCCTATGCCCGTGCCCCCAATTGGGGCGGTGGGGTCGTTGGGCCTGGATTGCATAGCCACTGGGTGAGGACCGGGATCACCCCCACCGGTCCATAGGAGGGGAACAGGGCCAGGTCCGCCTGGTGCTGGGCCTCTGGCTGGGTGCTGTCAGGCAGGATAGCGGGGCAGCGGCCGTCCGCCCCACTCACCGCCGGCGAAGGCTCCAACTGGGACGTCAAAGACCTCACCTCCAGGGGACTGAAACTCGAGGAGCCTGCCTCGCCCTGGATCTAGTGTCCCCTTAGCCCTGAGGGCCATTGCTGTCGGTCTATGGTTAGTTCGGATTTCATGTTTATAGGTTTAAGAAGTTGGTGAGTTGCAGGACCTGCTCAAACTTGCGACCATTCAGCTCGGCGGTCCGGCCCCGCCCCCCGGTCCTGTCCTTTTAACCCTGGAATGTAAAACTTTTTTTTTTAGATTTTTTAGAAACCCTAAATGTTTACATTGCAGGGTTAATTACACCTCTAGTGGCAGCATTACAGACAGTCTCTAGAGGCGCCTGTGTTGCAGTGACTGAATGTTTGGTCATTTGACGTGGAGGCCCCCATTTGATATGGGGAAGTATGGATGAGCACACAGGACTTGCCGAGCATGAGTGCATAGGGCCTTGATGCTTTTCAAGTATTTTTAAGGCACACACGGAGCGGGGGGTTGATCCATATAACTAGGGAGAGGGACACTATAATGTTAGGAACACAGGTTTGTATTCCTAATACTTGAGTGCTTCTTTAAACTGAGACAGCTTGATAGCTCTCACCAGTCCTTATAATGACATTGCCTATTTGAAGCCAAAGTATGCAATGCTCTGAACAGACGCGGTGGAATCCACAGACTTATACCTCAGTATCATTCATAAACGTAAAATATTCAGTTGAGCTCACAATCAGCACGTGTAGAGAAGTTAGGTATATATTTCTTTACTTAGTCCCCTTTTTCTTTCATGTTTGCTTGTCCTCTGACCTGTTCCATTACCTCCAACCTGTGGCATTATGCTGATAGGCCCATATGTATGGCATGACTCCATTGTGGCAAAGTTTTGACATCTGTACTCCCAAACTCCATGAAACTAGTTTTTTCACATAGTTAATGAAGATTCCACCAGCAGCAGAATGTGTTTCTCTGTATCTGTTTTATCTTTCAAACTAAATCTGTATAATTTTTAGAACTCTATGGATTGTGTATAGATAGATACATGGTTATTTGACATTAAATACTGTCATGCTTCTGGTATCAAAGTGCAGAAATTCTAGCGTTTTAAAGGTAAGCACCACTTGCCAATCAAACAACACCCTGCCAATTCACAACTGATATTCAATGCATAATGTGTAAGGGTGTGCGACTGTGCATGCAGTTATCCCACCAATCTTGGAGGATTAGACACAATATTTAAGCGAGTGCAGTTAAATTACATCTCTTGGTTGTATACATTTCACCCTGCTACTTTGTTGCATCCATTTGCCATCAAAAGTCACATCATTAATTGAAGGGGGTTTGTTTGCTTGACTGCACTGCACCGTAATTGTTAGAGAGCATATCTACAGAAAAGCATCATGAAGATGGAAAAAGATCTGAGATAGAGTTCTAAAGAAGCACCAATCGGTCTTATGCAAAGGATGCAGACAAAACATCTGCAGCTTTTTAAACCATGTTTTTTGGTATACCCCAATGACAAAATGCATAAATAAATATATATAAATGC